GAAGAACAAAAATTCATAAAAATATCTAAATTTCTTAAATCAGTGTACAATTCTCAAGAAATGAAGGCTCGTAAAGTTATTTCTTCAAGAAAATCTACAGCAAAGGCAAAATACTTCTTGCATAAAAATAATATTAGCTAACCAAGACAAACCAGAGCCGCTGTATGGCATTTTAGGCTTTAGCAGATTCAATTGATCGTGAAATTTTGTATACCGAACAACCAACTTTAAAATTCTGTTTTTTGATGTCATCTGGAAAACCAATTGAACGGTACTATTTGTACTCCACATTTAGAAATACATATGTAAATATGAAAAGGTGTCTCTCTTTGAACTTGCTTATGAGGAGGCGAAAATCAAAGTTTCTGAACTCTGGTTACTATTTTTTCAAACTCATTAAAGTGCATCTTATCCAAAGTAACTTCGTTATTTGAATTTATATTTGTCTTTTAATTATAAATATACCCAAAAAACATATATTTCTTAACCATTTCGTTTTCGATATTTCCGATATTCAATATATAGATATTATTTTAGTAGATATATTGGTATCGGATATTGTGAATTTAGAATATCGCGATACCGATATACCGTACTTTCATTGCCGATACGCATCCCTAGTTGCTATCGATAATCGACCCAATAGCTTTCTCTGAGTCCAAATATAAACATTTGATGTGCCCTTTTTCCTTTTTGATGATATTTACCCCTTTTTGCCTTTAACTAAAGCAGGGATAACACGATTTCTACATTTTTGCAGATACAGAGTGGGGTTTTTAAAGAGCGTAACTCATTCTCGATACAAATTTCTAGACATCACCACTCGGTGACCGTGGTGAAGTTTTTCCAAAATTTTTAATACATATTAAAAATAAAAGCCCATTTTCAGACATCTTCTTCTTGATTAACTCTACGACCGTTCACCGGTTTGGATAGAGACCAAAAAACCTCGCCAATTTACTTTCTCCTTCGCGAGGTTGCGCGAGTTGTACATCCCGAGTGCACACAGGTCCTTCTGCACTTGGTCCTTCCATCGGGTTCGTGGGCGCCCTTTTCTTCGTTGTCCAGCCATGGGTGCCAAGTCGAAAAATATTTTCACTGGAGCCTCGTAATCCATGTATACAATATGCCCAATCCAGTGCAATAGTTAAATTTCCATGCACTAAACTATGCCCATGCCATTAAAAAGCTCGTACAGTTCGTCATTCCATTTTCTTCGGTACTCGTCGCCCACGCGAACAGGGCAAATGCGTCTTATTTTCGTTCATAATCGTATAGTCATGATGAGAGATTTGTAGAGCGTAAATAGCTCTGCTGTTTAATTGCCTACAGAGCCTAAAGTAGCACCTGTCGGCAAGAGTTATCTTTGCTTGATCTCCATGCTGACATTTTTGGTTGTATCTATGCTAGATAACCCTGTTTCTCAGGCCAGCATCAGCTTGAAATAGTCGCACGAGAATGAACGGTATTAGTTTTTCGGGGATCCCAGATTTAGACATGGCGTCGTGCGGGCACAAAGAGAAGTGCTATGGATATTGGCTTTAACATCGATAAAAAAATGGTGTGTGTAAATTTTATAATCTAGTGTCTTCTCCAAAAATCTGGTGGATGGCGAAGATTGAGGCTCTCTACTCATGGAGTTTGTTTAACATTTTTAGTTTTTTAACATTATCGCCAACATTTGTAATTAAGTTGTCATCTATTCCGTAAGGTTTTTTGTTCATAGAGTTAAACAAATGAAATGAAATGAAATCAACGTAAAAATTTTTCATATTATGGAACTAAATTTGTAGTTTCTTTTTCTCATTTTTCTTGTACAATTCAAATTTCAAAAATAAATCCCTCTATTTGCTTTTTTCAGTTGTTAGTTCCCTTTTCTGCCTATTTCTCTCTTTGGCTTTCTTACCTTTTGTTGCGATTTTCAGTGCTTATTCCCCTATTTGGTTTTGCCCTTTTTTATAGGGGTTGGGTCCAAAAAATCCGTTCCCTGGTATGTACTTACATATGTATTTACATATGCGGGTATTATTTGAATTGGGGCTTTTCATATATTTCCTTTCATATTTTGATTGGTTCGACGATAGTGGTTGCTTGTGAAACAAATCCAATGATTTTTCAAAAATTAATCCAGAATGGCTGAATATAAATTTTTTAATATTTGGACTCCTGTGATACATACATATCTATCTGGAAAATTTTTTAATAAATACATTTTTATATTCACGTAATAAATATAGATTCACAATTTGAATCTAGTCGGAATATTTTGAATTAGAATACAAAATAAAATCGGACTGGAAATATCTCAAATCCAGCGCCAGCCATTGGACCAATTTTCGGACCCAAATCTTCGTTTACATGTCTTATGCACATATGTTCTAAACTTGAATTGGGCTTATTTTAGAACAAAATAATTTAACTTTACTTAAATAATTTATGTTCGGACTTTAAATACGGTTTTTGGAGACATACCAACTCCAGCGCCACCTATCGAGCTTTTTGCGCTACGCTTCCAAGCTTCTCAGATGCACAACTGAAATATGTGTATGTATTAAATATCTATGTAAATCATGAGGGTTGAGGGAGGAAGTTTTCTTAACACTTTTCTAGCACTGCGTTATTTGTAGTTGGGTGACACGTTTGTCTATACTAGTTTCCTTATCTAAATATTACATATATTTATTTAAAACGTCAAAACTATTGAATATTCATGTGGACGCATTTCGAAGTTTGGGGGGCTGAAACATGGGAACGTGGGGTTAAAGTAACGCCATCAGCTAATGTGCTAGTTTCACAAAATCGGCAATTTGATATCTATATATATTACATTATAAATGTAAAAGGCCCTATATGACAATTTTTCAGAAATTTGCTTGTTAAAATATTTCGTTGGTTGGCATTCAATACCAAATTTCAAAGCCATATCTTAGATGAAAATATGATTTAACGGAATCCTTGGAAATACTCTGTACGTATTTTCTATGTTAATTTAAGACGTTTTTTGGTCTTTTGCATTGAAGGTGACAATATATAGTCGATGATGCCGTAGTCGATGTTCCATCGCCTGACTATGACGAGGTACGAATAGCGATTTCGCGGCTGAAAAACAACAAAGCTGTGGGAGCTGACGGCGAAGAGCTGCTAAGGTGCTCTTGAACATGGTGAGATGAACGCATACCCGCCGGCTGGAATTTAAGTGTGCTTTGCCCCATCCACAAGGAAGGAAACGCCACAATAAGCGCCAACTAGCGCGTGATCAGCATAGCACCTAAGCATATATTACCAGTCCTTATGGAGTATATTGTCTGAAAGGCTGAAGACCACCGTAAGCGAACTGACTGTGACTTATCAGGTATTCACAATACGCCCAATCTTGGAAAGGACTCGCGAGAATAGGAAAGTCACACACCATCTATTTGTCGATTTCAAAGCCGCTTTCGACAGTACGAAAAGAAGTTGTGTTTCTTCCGAGATGTATGGATTAGGTATCTCCGCGAAACTAATACGGCTGTATTAAACGACGTTGAGCTTACCACCAGATTCGTCAGAATTGGGATAGATCTCTCCGAGCCGTTTGACACCAAACGAGGTTTAAGGCATGTGATTTCTTTAATCTAATGTTGGAGAAGATGATAAGAACCGCAGAACTGAACCGCTCAGGCTCAATTATTTACAAGAGCGTAAAAGAAAGGGCTCCATCCGTTCTGCCTTCTCGGAATTAGATAGAGGTAACACATGAGGGTCCGGTGGTCAACGAGAACAAAACTGAGTATCTCCTGTCATCAAACAAACAGTCAGAGTTTCGCCACCACGTCACTGTTGGCAGTTACAAGTTTGAAAAAGTATACGACTTCGTTTATTTAGGAACCAGCATTAACACCAATAATGGCAAGCCTTGAAATCGAACAGAGAATCACTCTTGCCAACAAGTGCTACTTTGGACTGGGTAGGCAATTGGGAAGTATAGTTCTCATGAAAACGATGAAACGATTTTTGTGTGCCTTACGACGATATAGATATAGTGTGCTGAATTAAATTACAGCGGCCACGCTGGCTTGGTCATGTTATGCCAATGGACAGAAATGCTCCAGCTATGAAGGTATTCAACGCGGGCCGCGATGATGGAAAGACCAGGTGGAGAAGGACCTGGTTTTACTTGGTATTTCCAACTGCCGTCAGTTGGCGCAGAAGAGCAATGACTGGCGTGCTTTGTTGGACTCGGTCAAAATCGCTTAGGGGCTTTCAGCGCCAAACAATAGGAAAGCGAAATTGGAGCAGCCAATGGGCCCAAAATTCTTTATCTAATATGCTCTCAATATCAAAAAGTGCGAGTAAGAAGTGTGTGAAAAGCCTTAGAGAATTCGTATTATGTACTCTGAACTGCTGCTCTAATGATGGTGACAAAAATTTACTTTCATAAAGAATGGTTGCGATCTGGAGGAGTTGTACATATTTATCGATTCTTCCATACCAAAATAATTATGATAAGTTTCTATACTTGGTTGGAGTGCATAGCATATAGGAAACAAAACGACCTCTGTCTTTATATCTTAAAAAGATTTGTAAGTAAGGTATGTAGATATGTATGAAGATGTTATAGATAAGTTTCAGACTTGGATTTCAATAGCTTTGCACGTAAAAAAGGTGTATCATCATAGCATTGCATTATATATTTATTTTAAGATTTGTCCTTTGTAAATGGAGATTACCTCTACTTCGTGCTCATATATTTTAGAATCCATTATTATGAATTTAAAAAATTTGTGTAAGGTATGTACATATATCAATGTTTAAAAAGGACATGCAATGTATTTGTTATAAGGAAAACATCATTCAAGAGTTTTATGTAAATTTAAGCTTGAGGGAAAATTAATGTCGCATATTTGTTTAGGCACAAACATACACATGTATCTATATTTGGCCTATGCAAAATTATTTGATATCTTTTGAAATGTTGATGTGCTTGAATGTATTTCTTTGCCTCTTAGTTCTTTACTCACCAGCCAATAAAATTCTTCCAATTAACTCATTTCGTCCAATATTATCAAAATCCATTACCATAACATCTAAGGAGCATTCGCGTATCTTTTCCCATGGTACATTGAAACTAAAGGACTCATTAAAGACAGGATTGAGTGTGCAATTAAATATTGGAGTCTTTCGTTTTTCAACGCGTTTATCGCCGAATTGTAGCCACACCTTAACATACGGATCTGAAAGGATTTTTCGAATGGATTTTATGACAGTGATTGCTTATGATTTTTTTTGTGCATAGGTGGAATGTATGTATGTTTTCATCTAGAAATAGGAAGTATGTATGTAGTTTTGAATTATTATTTTTATAGTTAACTAAGCCTTTTTTTATATACATACATACACGTATGAGGAGTATTTGTTTTATAGCGTGTGGGAATCGGTTGACTCATGAATTGGTTTTCCGTTCTGAATTAAACAAGCTTTTGCACGAATACTTAAAATTAAGGAATGTAGTATAAGATTGTACAACATCGACGTTCAAAAGGGTTGATAGAACACACAGCTATTTACATATATACAGTGATGGTGAGAATATTTGCAACTCAAGCCTAATAAGTGTACGTACTAGCTCAAAATGGTATATTTATATATGTATGTATGTACAAGTTTGTACAAATTGACTACATTTTTTTTCGTTTCTGAGCAATTTTCAATCAAAATAACGTATGGCCTATTTTTATGCCTAAAGTTTGCTTTCAAACAAATATGCATTGTTTTGTGTTTGTTTTTTATAATAACATACATTAACTTTGTTGCAGAACTAACGCGGATGACTAAAGTAGCCATGGAGAAAAACTCGGAGAGTGAACATTTGGAAAATCGGGAAAACACTTGTGAAATCGGGTAGATGTATTCATCTTTTTAATCTAAGGGGTTCGGAGTAAACACCTCCTCCAACTCCGCGTTCCATTTTGGAGTCACCGGTGTACAGATGATGTGTCCAGGCGGAGATATCACGTTCTCCCCGCAAGGCCTGTGAAATTCTATTTCAGGTCGTAGGTAATCGGTAGCCAGTCTATTATCAAGAAGGGATATACATTGGATAATACATAAAAGATCTCTAATAAACTGACTACTCTACTAGCTTGTCGTTGGAAGAGAATGTAGATGATCCATTCTCAATTAATTTGAATTAAAATTCTCTGAGGAGAAGCTCGGCCAAACACTAACATATGTGTAAGCGCCAATCTATTATTATTATTAAAATTCTCTGCAGTACGTTTGATCCTTATTTATAAGATCCTTTCCATAACTGACAATCCCAGCTATTCTCGCACCTACATATTTATATAAGATTGGACGCTGAAAATTTCCAGACAGTCAATTTGTTGGACATTTGGTTTCAACCCCTTTCTATTTTGGAAGGGACTTTAGCCTTATGTACGTAATAATGAGCGGATTCCATGCCTTTGATGCAGTTTGGTTGACACTGTTGACAGGTTGGCGTAGTTTTAAGCTGTTGCAAAGTTGGAAGTTTGGTGTTGTAGGGGTTGACATCGGCGCCTCTTTAAATGGATACTGATCCGGGAGATATTTTCTCCAACCACCGGATTTCACTATATACTGGGTGGCGCCGAATGAGCTATATGGTTTAAATGGTTTATAACTTTTTTATTTATGCGATTATTGTAATTTTTTTTAAATACAGTATATTATTGGGGAATTTTTTGCAATTAGCTTTGAAAAATGATATCCTGTAAGTGATGTCCATTTTCTGCTTCGCACATACGTGCTCTTCTTAGCATATTTTCCATAACTTTTCGCAGAATTTCGGGTGTAATGGCCATGATTTCATTTCAGTTGGAGAATGGTTCTTGGTTTGTTAACGTACACACTTTCTTTCAAATATCGCCAAAGAAAACTGTTAAAAAGAATTCAAACCATATAGCTCATTCGGCGCCACCCAGTATTATAATCAAAAATTTGAGGTTTTTTGGCCGAAATTACGATTTTTTCAAGGTAAAATGACGATTTTTCAGCAAAAGCATTCGGCAACGCTGCTGGCAGGTCATTTCCAGGCGTGGGTCCCGTTGGCATAGAGTAAAAAAAAACTGTTATAAAGAATTCAAACCATATAGCTCATTCGGCGCCACCCAGTATTAAATATTATTTTGCAGAGTTGAGTTTTATTTCAGCTTAGTTATAAATACATATGTATAAATACACGAATATTATTAGAATTATTGCAAGTTAAATATTATTTTAATGTTCAATGAAAGTTTAATTTCGGATAAAGTCTTTCTTTTGATTTTCGGTGTCAGGGAAAATCCTTAAATACTTTTTCCGATCTATTTGAAGGGTTTTTATCATGACTGGTTTACGCGAGAAAATAATTTACAAATAATTTTTTACAATACCGTTCTTGTCGATTTACCGTCGCACAGTGGAGATCGTGGCCAAAACTTCAAAAGAAATGAATGTGTTAGTAAATCTGTTTGTTTCAATGCTGATCGACAAATGGCACCTCGGATAAGAAAAAGCGAAACAAAGTTTTGAAATTGTTTCACGTTTAGCAATACAGTGAGGCTTAGCTTAAGTAAAAATGCTGCCATTTTATTTGTGAAATTTATTCATTGCTATGAAGAGCTGTAATTAATTTATTAACCATATTCTTACATGATATATCAATGTATAAGAATTGAATTTTATTTTTAAATAGTTTATCGTTTTATTGATATGCTAGCAAATGCCCGGCTTGCTTCGCGACGCCTGATAAGAACTTTTGCGTTGACCAATACAAAAACCAAAACGGTTTGTGAAGTAGAAGTTATTAGTTTAGGTTGAAACGACCGTTTTTACTTATATACACTAACTAAAAACTACTGTTATACCAGTCTTTGTATTAATTGGTGTTGAATCTGTATGATCCACAAGCAGTTATAGTTCCGGATCTGACTTTTGAGTCAGCTCACTTTAGATCTAGGTGTGCGATATGATTTGGAGCCAAGCTGATTTGAGCTTGTTTTATATAAACTTCTATTCAAATAACCGCATTCGAAAAATTCTTTGAAAACATTTTTTTATGCATTTCACATATGCTTTTTCGTAGATAGGAAAAACAAAACGAAACAAATTTTAAATAAATGCACATACATATGAATTGACACCAAACTGATTACCAACATCTGCCCAAGCAAAGCCTTTTAACGATTGGCAAAATTTCACGGACAGTAGTATCTTTACGATGACGTTTGTTCAACTTCAAAAAACTTTCGATGACATTAATCGTGAATCACTGTCATCTACAGACTTGCTGCCCAATAAAATTTCAATCTAAGAGACTTTGAAGAAGTGTATAGAAACACTCGGGCTGGTATGCATTGTATAAGAAGAATTAGAACTAAATATTAAAGTGAAATTAAGTTGCATCATAATCGATAGAAAAGTCTGCAATGTTTTGAATGGTCAGCAATCAGCAACACCATGCAACATTTGTGGAGCAAAGCCATCAGGGATGATTACGAAAAATATAAATGAAGTTTAACACTTTACAGATGAACACTAAAAACTATAAATTCGGCCTTTCCAATTGCATTGTTGGATAAGATATATGGAGTGTTTATGGCATATTTACTATAACCACGAATTTAATATAAAAGGAGAGCTTTCAATTAGAGTGGATTTTACAAAAGCGGGGTATGTAAATTCAAACGATGCCAACACTGCGCGGCGCTTCTTTTCTGAACCAGGAATTGTTTCCAAAATCACTGGTATGGATAAGAGTCTTTTTTTATCTAGCGGGGAGCAAATAGTTAGTTAAAATGTATACAATGAAAACAGAAGACATTTCTAGTCAGCAATATGGCTGGTACAATAGCCCCCATCTGTTCACAAAGTGGCACGCATGGAAGAACTAGAAATTCCGATTAGATGGCTATCGGAATAAACTCAGGAAACGTCGAATAAGATTTTTAAAATTGCCTGGCTTAATAATAGTAGGTGTACCCTAGGGTGGCTGATAACGAGGATGTATTGCATTATCTCTTCAGACCCCCTTACAAGTAATATCAAACGAGAAAAATATGCTGCTTGGTTTGAAAGAAAACTTAAATTATTTTCATTCGTTTTGCAATAAAATCGAAATAAAATTTATTCCGCCTTCATTTATTTTTACAAAAAAAGTGTTATTATAAATTTCATTATCTAAATACTTATGTACATACTTATTAGCGATTTTTACACAATAGTATTATACTTTTCAATTACATTTTCTTAACTCCGCATTTTTAAAAACCTTATCTCTTGTGGGGAAGGTGGGGATTTGTGGAGGCGTAATTTTAAGCTGATATTTTTTTGAGTATTTGGTTTTTGGGATAAAAATACTTAATAAAATATCTCACGCGCTTTTAAATTATCATCCTATAACTAAGTTTTTACTTCAAATATGTTAATATATATCGTGTTTGGCATTCTGATTTTAATAGTTTTGAAGATATTGCAATTTAAACATTTTTCAAAATTTCCGGGGAGTGGGCGTATTTGTAAACGGATTAAGTTCATTTTAGCACTACTTACTAATACTCATCAAGAAAGCTTGTGTACCAATTTTGAAAGTTGTAGGCCCATTTTTACCATTTATGTCCAATTTTTGTATCAAATGCTCCCACTGTGCGTCGGTGATTAAGTATATATGCACATGTATGTATACATATGCATGTATAGGTATTTGTATCTGTATGTATGTATTTATGTACATACATATGTACATATGTATGTGTATTAATGTTCTTATGTGGAAAGCTACATACGTATACGAAAATAATTATGTGTATATATGTATATCGCTCGCTTAATAATAATGGGAATCTACCTTTTTGGAGATTTAGTCATACAATTATAAGCTTGATAAGGCGAATATATTCAGTCAAACAGATAACTATACTTCTCGAAAATGGCGAATATATAAGTCTTTCCATCGTTTTTTTTGTATACATACATATATGGATTGGTCAAACTGTGATTGTGTACTACAACAAAATTAAATTTTTTAAGCAATTTGCTTTATTATTAAACCTGCGATATGATATTTATGTATGTATATGCACATGTGGGTGTATGCATGGAAAAGCCTTTGCGTGTTTGCCACTTATGTATGTATGTATGTACATGCATCTTCCGTACTTCTGCTGGAGTTCAGCTGGTGACAAGAGACGAACATAAGCTAACGATTTCATGCATTCCCGATTGCTAGGCAATTCGATAGCGACATTCCTGGCGAGTCGTTAGTGGTACCAGGACGGTTACTAGTGACAAAATTTGCGACACCAATTCCTTCCCCCAACGAATTTAACATGGCGATGTCATTGGAGGGTACAGAGTGGTACGCGTGGTATGACCTTTCGCTAGCGATTATCTATTGCCGACTACCAATCGCTAGGGAATTGCCTAAGGACTAGTAATGCACAAAATCGCTTGAATGTGATATTTTCAATATAGGTGTCGCATTGCCTGGCGCTAGCGCATTGCATAAAAATCGGTAATGCATGGAATCATTAGCTTATAGCCGTCTCTTGTCACCAGCTGAACTCCAGGAGAACCACGATGTCATGATATCGAAAATATTAATGCGAATAGAATTTTGAACACGTATTTATGAAACTAAACATGAGTGTGTAGGTGCGTGGATGCCGGATTACCAGTTACATACCTGATTTGCCATTGATATCTTTTGCTTTCAGATTTCGCGCCTTAATCAATGTTAATGTTAGTACTGAATTTGATGGATGATAGCAGAGCGATGAAAGCAATTCACCGCATTTATCCTTAGCCGGTGGTTTCAGTGCTTTCCAAAATGATTGCTTGCTAGCGAAATCAACCTATACGCATGTCGTACGTACATATATGTAAATATAAAGTGATAATGAAGATGTAGAACTACAGAATAACTTATACCTATACGACTAAACCTATGCTTTTAAATATATAAAACAACCTTATTAAACAGGAAAGGGAATATACATATTGAGTGATCATCACATTTTACTATAATCATCTTTGGTTAATTGAATTTTATCTAACCATGTATGCAGAACATTCGTACTATAGAGTACTTCCCGCTGAATGACATTGCACATACCCAACAAACATTAAGGTTAGAGAACGATTAGAAAACGATTTTTAATTAGATTAGAGAAACTATCGAGAATTACAACATTTTCTAAAGGGGACTTTGTTCTCAATATCGAGAAAGTTGTTAGATATCTAATCGTAAGCTAACGCTGAATTCTAATTGGATTCTAATGTCTAGTGTTTTTCAAATCATTCTCTAAACAAATTCTAACATAGTTTTCTAGCCTGATTTTCCATTAGAGAACTACATTAGAATCGAGAACTGTATACAATTCGTGTACATACTAGCCGTGTTTTTTTTGGGCAATGATCGGGATCCGGATTTAAATTTTGAACGCAAATGTAACAACGATATGATCCTGATCCTAGGGAGCTACAATGTAATACGATGCGAAAAGCAATGCGATTCGAAAAGAAAATGCGCGAAAAGTTATCGGCGCTCTCTATCACTAACCCAATGGTAAATCATATTTACTTTTTGTAAGAACCAGTGATAAAAAATAAACGGAAAGAAAGATTTTTCGCTTGCATACTTTTAGTGTTCTCCCACTCTAAGCCAAACAATTTCTTTACATTTAAAATTGTTTGTTATCCATCAGACACAGTATGCAGTATTATAACAAATTTGATAGAAACGCTTCTTTTGTGGATTTGTTGCAAATATATATCTAAAATTACATTATAGGTATTAATCTAAACGCTTAAATTTCGTAAATTAATCGGGTTTCATACAAAATTAAGTAAGTTTACGTGGTTATGAGGCATTTATGCGTTTAGATCTGTGATGCACAGCGTTGGCAGAGCTTCCAATACAAGTTCAAAATCTTTTCCTCAGTATTTTGTGTACCGGCGTGTGAGTGTGTACTAAACGCACTCAACAAAACAACTTCCACATGAGATGCTTACTGCATGAAGTACACATGATTCAATAACACTCTTGGGACGCTAAAATGGCACAAAAAACGCCGATACAAGATCAGGCCATTTTTCCAAGATATTGCGAATGAAAAAAATTCAATGGGCGCATTTCTAAGATGCAGCTGTTGCTAAACTGTTGAGTGTTTGTTTCACAAACGCACAGTTGAGTAGTTCCGCTCAGCTCAACGGTTGACAACTTTACGTCATTTTTTCCATCATAAAATTATTTCGTTACATAAAGTCAACAATTTATATAAGTTAAAAATGGTGTTTCCCTTCCGTCAGTTTTTATAGAAAATTCAAATAAAAAAATAATTTGTCTGCTGGCGAAACTGGCTGTTGATAAAATAAAATACACGTACAAACCTTGCAGGGAAACCGCGGACTAGTGAATCAAATTTCTAGTTCCGTACTAGGTCTTTAGCACCAAAAAGGAACTAGTCCGATATGAACTAGATCCCCACCAGTCCAAAATCAGCGAAAAGTGGTACTTTTAAAAGACTAATTTTTTTCAGTTTTTTTTCACTAGAAAGCGATATCTAAAGTGACGAGTTTAGAAATGGTTCGGAACTATAGAAAAAGGGATGCAGAACGAACTAGATCTTATTTGTCGAATTTAGAACAAGTTCGGAACTTTCGAATAAGGGATGCAGCGGGGGGCTTGTTTACTTTACATAGATATGTGTCCGGCGGCTTTTTCGTTCAAATACGCTTCTATTCTGCGCTTCGCAGATGCTTTTTCATAGCTTGGTAATACGAAACTAAAATTTGTGTTNAATACATATATTAAAAGTAAAATAAGAAAAACTCCATTATAAATCCTGTGCTGTCCATATTTTTAGCTTAATATTTTTCTTTTATTTTTGTGCTGTTTTATTTAATTTTGCTTGTTTACAAATGTCATCTGTTCGTTTGGCAGTTTATGTATCATACCGTTTCTAAGACGTAAATGTTGAACTCAACAGTTTACAGCATTTCAGCAACAGTTGAGGTAAACAGTTGCGTGTTAGAAGCGCGCCCAATCATTCGCATGGAAAATGTTACTCATACGCCTTGTACAAGTAGGGTCATGTACGATATGACGTATGAGTAACATTCAGCGTGATCATGAGTTTAATTTTCCGCGAACCGTTTCACTTTTCGTTTCCGAGTATTCGCTACGGGCGGATGAAGAAAATTCGGGTGAATTTGTTTTCGGGCGAAACTCGCGATGAAGCCCATTTTTTCCTGTTCCTATTTCATACAAAAATTATTGCAGCTTTTATACCGCTAAATAGCGCGAGGCGAGAATTTTAAGTTGTTTTCTTGACGACTGCATTTTGAAACTAAAATTTATTAAAATGTTGCGTGCAGCCAATTTCACAGCTGCCAATTAAAATGAATTTTGACAGGCTGTATGTGAGATCAACGTGATCAACTTTAAATCAAGTTATTGATCGTGTAACTTCGCAATAAAGCGCAATTTTCAATGCACTTGCGCATTGTAGGGCGCCAGTTAAGGCATCTAGTACCGGGATTCGGGATCCCGAATCCCGGGAGTCCCGTGTACTTTCTTGAGTCCCTAAATTCCGGGATCAAGCCCAGATCCCGGGATATAATGTAATTTACGACCAAATTAAAATAAAACGACATTCAGACACTGTAATGGCATAAAATAATTATAAAATGCAACCCTGCCAATAATCAAATAATATACTACAATTCTAACGCTACTATTATTCTATGCCATAATATATATAACATATACATGAGGCATTATTTTTCATATCGGACACTAAATTTGGTGTCACAATTTCGATTGGCTTGACATTTTTCCTTTTTTCTCCAAAACTAGTTTGTTATCATATTTTAATTAATGGTAATCATGTTCCGGGATCCCGGGATTACCAATGTAAGATTCCGAAATCCAGAGATTCACAAAATGGTCCGGGATTGGATGCCTTAGTGCCAGTATTCCGGATGTCCGCTATTTTGCTATCGCATCGCATTACAGGGTAAACCCCCTGGTTCAATTTATGATCCGTTCTGTTTGTTTTGTTTCACTGTTGATTTGACAGCGCGGTTTGTTAGCACTGACAAATGAATGCATACATAAAACAAGTATTCTGCCATTGTTTTTAACTTGCTTCAAATAAATAGCCTTTCAGGCCTATTCTGCTTGTTACCGAACATTCCACTTCTTGTAACCGCAATTTTAGGTACCTTGGTAACGTTTTAAGGCGTAAAACTTTGTGTGCGCTGGGTTTGGGTCCCGCCACGTTAAAACCCCGCCCAATGAAAAGAAGCAAACAGCCTCGGATGAGACCCCCTTTTTCTGATGACGACCACGGCAAACGTATAAAGGACTATGATTTAAGGGTATGCACCTGGAATATCCGGACCCTTAATGGGGAAGGTGCCTCTGCCCGGCTGGATCAGCTCATCGTTAAATCGTCTGCGATATTCGCCATCACCAACGCGTAAAGGTCCGTAAATCTTTCGCAGAATCTTTCTCTCGAAAACTCCAAGAACCGCCTCATCAGATGCTTTCATTGTCCATGCTTCCGCGCCATACACC